TGCTGTTACTAGCTTGATATTCAATTCCGTTTGCTCTTCTGCATCTTCTGTTCACACAGCTCTTGGTTTTCCCTTCATTTTTCTTTCTTCTGTGGTTCTGTCCCTTGGCAGTCCATTTCTGTTTAAGCCAGAGGTCCACAGTTTTTAACTCCTCTCTGAATTGTGCTGACAAGACCGCTTCACATAACTGGTCTCCTATGCTGCCCAGTCTTCTCCTCGACTTGTGAAAGTTTGTGACCTCATATTTTTCCCCGAAATGCCTCAACATTCATCACTGTTAACAAAGAAAAGGAATAGAAATGATTGCACATACATCCTCTGCAATACATTAGATGAATTTATGTTATAGAGCATGTTTGACTGTATTCTCAGCAAACATTTTGTCTCCTTCTCTTTGAACCAAAGACAAGAGAGGAAAATACCGATCGGCTTTCATCTCATTTCACAATTGTTAGTAAAGCAGCACACCCTTATATGCAGGCCTAATATCAGTCCATTGATGGGTGAGGGTGTGAGTAATTGAAACTCATGTGTGTTGTTCTTGTCATTTTATTGTGCCTTCTCAGCCCTACCTGCAAACTGAGTAGAGAAAACAAGTTGTAATTTAGGGAGCTGCGAAAAGGGGATTGTAGGTGGAGGAGAGAAATTTGAGATACAGTCACGCTCCTTGGTAAGGCAATGGAGCAGAGAGGAACTTCCACTATTGCCTCAGCCTAATTCAGAGAGTTTTTCTTTTAATACAAAGACATCTGTCAAGAAGAGTATATCCACTCATTTTGTTATGCAGAATTCATGGCTAGCTGAAAGCTGCTATTTGGGCTATGCCCAGTGAATAAGCCAGCTCTGTTTTGCTGGAATCATTTGGAGAACTGGAAATGACCAGTTTGGTATCATTTTTAATAGCTCAGTAGAAAAGTAATTGATTCCATAAACATTGTGCTAGCACACTGTTTTTTTTTTAAGCAGACATTAGTGCTTACATGTTCGGCTCTGAGATGAAAATGGAAAAAAGCCAGTGACAATGCATGTAGATTTCCCAATACTTTCAATAAGGAATATACTCATGTCTCCCAGGTTTATGGCTTTCCCTTGTTCTTTTTTTGCAGAAAAACAGTTGGCTTCTGTCAAGTTGGCCATAAGTTTTTTCTCTTGTGTGTAAAAAACAAAAGAACAACCCATAAATATATTTAGCAAAGACAGCTTGAATAAAGTGTTGAACGGAGACTCAAACACACTGCTGCTGTTACACATGCAGTCTGTGCCCAGTTTGAGTACTGCTGGTGGCATCGCTGGCTCTGCAGGTGGGAGCCAAATTTCTATGTCCAAACGAGCTGTCGCTGCGCTGTTCCCTGCTGTCAGGTTAGGCTTCTTGTTCTGGACCTCACTATAGTCCCGTGGTGTGAGCAAGCAGCGCCAAACTCCGAAACACCCAGTTTGCCAGTAACAACCCAAGCTAAGCGCTAAGACATCTGCCAAGAACAGTCAATACATTCATGGTGTTATGCAGGATTCAGTCCTAGCTGAGAGCTGCTGTTGGAGTCACCCTCCCCCGGCGAGCTGGGGACATGGTGGGGTGGGCGGCATCTGCCGCTGAGCGATCGGCGGGAGGGGGTAAGGTCCACCGCGCTCGCTGGAGCTGGGCAGAGAAACGCGGAGGGCAGGAGAGGAAGCCCAAAAACTATCCGCGCAGCCTCTTCTCCGTCCTTCCCAGCCCTACCTCACTACATTAGCTACCTCCAGCTTATTTTTGCTTCTCTTGATGCGGTTGGCACGATCACTAGCAGACAGTCTGTGTGCATATGACCTGCACATGGCAGCAGGGTGTATAGACCTGCACGTGGCAGCAGGGTGTATATTAATTATATAATTAATAGGTAATATATATACTTAATTACGCAGAAATATTTCCAGAACTGGCTTTGATATAAATACTGTAGCTCTGTACAGATCCAGTTTTCAGATGATGTCTGTGTTAAGCATCCACACAAAACGGAGGCAGAGCTATCCGCTCCATTTTCCCAGCCGGATTTCCATACGCCCTCTGTAGAAACGGTGCGTGCCCGTTCTAAAGCTGGGTCCACGGATCCCGGATCTGCACAATTTCAGATGCAGAAACATCTTCAGAGCCTACAGCATAAAAATCCCCAGCACTACAACATCTGCCCTGACATGAAACGAAGCTATTCGGTAAACACCAGCATTTTCCTTTTGCTAGCGTGTTTTTTGCCTGCTCATGTTCTGCTCCGGTGTGTTGGCAAAGCAGTCGGAGCAATTGCAGGACACTGCCAAGGTGCTTGTGTGTTGTTTGCATTTTGCTCTCTCTCACCTGACACGTATTTGACAGCATGCAAACAAGTAATCACATACCTTTGTGAAACAAGCAAGCCCTGGCTGAAAGTGTGTTGCTGTGATTTTTTGAAACTTAAGGCGAGAGGGAGGAATCAGCTGTATTATGAGTTTCTTTCTTTTGCTGGGGGTGGAGAGATAGAAAGCAGCAGGAGCGAGGAGGGGCTGGGGATTTTAATAAATCAGTTTTCTGCTGGCATTAAGGGGCTTTCGGTATGCTTTAGTATCATGACAGAGGGCAAAGCGCACCGGCGCTCTCAAGCTGCAGGTCACGCTCACTGCCGTGCAAGGTCTGTCAGCTCGCTGTTCAGTTTTTTGGAAGCAATGAAAGAGTTGACAAGAAATGACAAGCAGAAATGAACTTAAAGAGGACGCTGGAACAGCCTTGAAACACGCTTGAACCGTGCTGCTGTGACAGACCATCCCCTGCGCCTGTGCGCGCACGCTTGCAGGAGAACTTATTAATATATGTACTGTTAATTACCCACTCATGTCCTGAAGCAGGGCCGGGACTGAATTTCAGGAAAGGAGATGTTTGCTTTGCACGGGGCGCCCACATCCTATCCATACGCTCTCGGCCTTTCGGGGGTTGGGTTTCGCGGGCGGTCCGGTGCGCGCCGGGGCGCGGGGCGAGCAGCGAGCCTCACCCCGGCGCGGCCATCCCCTCGCCGGCGGCCGAGCAACGCCCCGCTCGACATAGAAGGAAAATTGTTTGCCGAGTTTCTGCCGCAGCGCTCGGGAGGGCGTGGGGAGGGGTGAGAACGGGAGAGAGGGAGTTTAAGGCCGGCTCTGCACGCCTGTGGTGGGCTGTTTCAACTTCAGGGCAACTTTAGAGAACTTCAGTTTATTTTCGGTAAGTTTTTGCTTTTTCGAAAAAAACCCTCTCTCTTTCTCTCTTGATTTACGTCTGATGCAGTTTGCACAAGTTGGCAGTAGGTGATTTAAAACTGTTAAGCGGTGGGGGTGTGTGCATTTTGCGTCCTTTGATCTGGAAGCTGGACATTCAGAGTATAAGGACAGAACGCTGCCAGCTGCTGCGCTTGATCAGTGAAACCTGCAGAAACTGATACTCCCGGGGGAAAGCGTGTCCCGAGCTTCATCTGAGGTGCATCACACCTGGCCTAAAGTTTTATCGCTTTCTCGCATGTGGGAAGATATGCCATCAGGGATGAGCAAGTGTGCTCAACCGGCTAAATAAGCGTGTGATCTACATTTGTAGCGTAGCAGATTTCGAACTTGTGCATGAAGCCTTCCAAAGCCTGCAGAGGGATGTTGGTTCTCCGTCTGATACACACCCCTCCATTCAGTAATCTCTATTCCAGATCGTGCACGTTGTTTTTCTTACTTCCTCTGTTGGTGTACTTAACCCATCCTATGATCTGAAATGTGGTGACACCCTCTGTATCGCACAAAGAGCCTTAGTCCCAACCAACTGTTGCAGTGAATTGCAAGGTGCAAACTGCAATTTGTTTACGGTGAGGTTTATTTATGATGAATATGAGTTTTGTTTTATATGCTTTCCCCATACGTGTATTTGGATTTTTATAGTAGCTGTGCTTCTACAAGAGGAATTCTGTTTGTGTGGATATTATATCTCAATAAATACCATTTGCAATATATATATAGCATCACAATATACTGACTTGGCACTAGAGCCTCTGTATGTTAGTGGTATTTGAGACTAAGATTAACTGTGAAGAATTTAAAAAACAGAGACCCATAACCTTGTGAGTACAAGTGGGATCGTGCATGTCTTTGCTGTGAGTAATTCACAAAACATTAGGATATGTTGGGTAAAGTTTATCTGTCCACCTGTCCAGCTTCTTTGCCCCTCCGTGTACCTTAATTCATCTCTGATTCTCTGACCATATGAATTCACATGATCTGAAGTAGGATTTGTAGCTGTGGCCACCTGAAGAAGGATGAAAAGTACATGTTCTTAAAGCTTTGATAGAAAGTAGAAAAAGCATCACTCGCAGGAGAGAACACCGAAGGTCTGTCCCACTACAACAAAAATAATCATTCTTATTTATCATTTACGAAACAAGAAACACTGAAATGTTAAGTCTAGTGTGTGACTCTCGTAAGAGATACAGTACTTTGGTTATGATCACCTACTGCGTGCCTGAGGGAAATCTTTAAGTATTGCTTCGCTGTATATTTTACTATAGCAAAGAAAAGCCATAAGGAATTTTGCAGATCCAAACAAATTGAAGGAAAAGCAGCTTACAGCAGGCACTTTGCTTCCAAAACCTATCTTAAGATAGGTTAAAAGTCCAGCATGAAACAGTTTCAGGAGTTTAGCAGCATAAGAGAATACATCACGTCTCAGAATTTACTGGGCTGTTTTATTAGTTATGTTTAAAATGATAAGTGTGACTGGAACTTTTAATTGCAGTAACTCTATAACAATGGAGTTAACAATAACTCTTTATAAACTGTGAAAACCGTAGATCTGCCCTAGGTCCTCTGCGCTGCTGACGTATTCCATAATAGCTGTAGCTTTTCTGTGAAAGCATGTAGATTTGTTAGCTAAAAGTGCATTTTACTATCTTTGGTGTGGCACTCTTGTAAAGTAAACTCTACTATTGGGTTTCGAGGCTTGTGTAAATCTTCTTTGGCTGAAGTCAGTTTGACTGTAGTCAGTGCTCATAAGTAATTCACTGGAGATGGCTGCATTCCCATATCGTATACCGCGGGTGTTTAAGTCTTTCAGTCAGACGGGGCAGTGCTAATTTCTTAGCATTGATTCACCAGGAGTTTGGAGATGGTGAATATTTTATGCTTTTAATTGTCTTGGCCGCTCAGACTGTATTCACAACTATGAGGTCAACGTGCCTCTTTTCGCTTTTGGCTGTACTTGAAGCTCATCCCTGAAACGAAATCCAGCAGCCTGTAGTACATGGTCAGGGGAATAGCTATAATCTGAGTTAACCTCCTGTTGACTTCGGAGGTTTGTGCTCGGCGAGCAGAGGCCGGGCTCCGAAACCCTTCTCCAGGAAGCAACGCCAAGAACGTCAACAGCACTTTACTTAAAGCTGTCAGGCTCTTGTCAGCGCCAGCGAAGGGAGTGGGACCTGCAGAATCTGGATCGTACTGAAGTATCACGTCTTCCGGGAAGCCACAAGAATGTATATTCCCCTGGTTTGAACCTTTAAAGATGCACAGAGGTGTTTTGTTTTTTTCCTTGAATTTTCTACTAGAGCAAAGAAGCCAGTCAGTACTATGCAAGTGTAAAACATTGCAGGATCTAAGAAAGATGTGTGTGGGATTCCTCATGTTAAAAGAACTGAATAAGCAGAATATAAATCAGTGCACCTGAAAGGTGTGAAAGTAACATAAATGTTTAATCTATTTTTTGCACCTGACTGGTTTTGCATTCCGTAGTGTCCCCCACATCAGGAAGCAGTAAAATATGCACTGGAAAAATCAGGGTTTCCACCTCTGGAAAAGCAGCCTGCTGCGTTTCTGGGCTTTATGTTGCAGATTCAATTCGGACTGGAAGGAACGCATAAGGTCTCAGCGTTAGACCCTGCTCTGCATGAAGAGAGGGAGACCTGACCTTCTGCACAGGCACACGCAGACTGAGCAAGAGCAAGCATTTTTTTTAAAGCCGATTGCCTCTTCTCTGAATTCCAGTGCGCTCAAAAACTGTTTTCCGGACAACATCATCTAACAACTGCAGCCTATTTCCTCTTAACTCTAACTTCCGCTCTGCCTAACACGCTTTTCCCCCAAAGCCAAGGCTGCGCGGCATGCAGCGCCGAGCAGCGTAGTGGGATTTGGCTCCTGACTGAGCTCAGGTTAAACCCTGCCAAGCCTAGGGCAGCCTGGGAACGCGCTGGTCGCCATCTCTCCACACGCAACAGAAATCAGGACAACGCTCTTGTGACAAGAAGCATCCTTTGGATGATCTGCAGCTGTGCCTAGCCCCTGCACAGGGGGATTAAAGTTGCACCTAGGGAAATACCCTGAATCCACATGTTAGCTAATGTCTCTTGCTCAGGAATTTAAGGTCAAGGCTTGTTATAAGACTGGAATTTATTGTTTTATGTTGGAAAATAAGACTCCAGGCCAGGAGATGACGTTTCACGTGCTAAATACTTCTCACCAACACTTTTACTTCCTCAAAGGGTGCGGTAGGTGGATAAATATTTGAAAGCAACTGCCGTCCTGCTGCGGAAAGTGGGCCCTGCAGTTTGCGATCAGGGAATGGGAAGTCATGGATTCACCCTCCAAATCTGACTGAATGCATTGGTCCAGCGGGGCTGGAACAAGTTAAAATACTTTGAAGCTCTTGCTTCACAGAAGCAGTAAGCCAAGGTAGCTGCTAGGGGACCTACTTGCTCTCAGGGGTGCCGGGAGCGCAGGGAAGCAGGTCCCAGGCTGCGGTCACAGCCCAAATCCAGCAGAATTGCAGGGAGCAGGAATTTTTAGGAATGCGAGGGCCTGCCGAGGAGCAGGCACGGAGCCCTTCCGCTTGATCCGCCCAGTCAAGATAGCAGTGTCTTCAGAGGGCTAAGTTATCTGTTTCTCAAAAACACAAAGGAGGAGATAAGGTTTATATCATTTCCAAGCCTGCTGATAAGTGCTCGAGGCTCCGAAGACGTAGTAGCTGGTCTTCACTGTTGGCCAAATGTTATTTCTCCTCTGTTCTTAAGAGAATAAACGCCACTTGATTTTGATAGCGGTGGGCTGCATCTGATATGTACCGCCAGGGGAGCAGCTGTTATCCTTGCAGTCATCTGATTTTGAATACCTGCCCGCTGACCTCTCACCTCTCCCTCCTTGAAGAGTGGTATGTTTGAGGCACCAAGGCTCTGCCTTGGTCTCCCAGCACTGAAAAGAAAAGCCTCAAGCTGCAAATATTTCATCAGCTGCTACAGACATAAAATCTTCTGCCTTGCAGTGAGTCCTGAAAGCTCACATGTTCTCCCAGTCCAGCCACCCCTATTCTTGCTAAGTACACTGACACTCTGTCCCAGCCCTTGAAAGATAATGTTGTTCAGCTTCCCACAGGTCATCTCTTCATTTATTTGCAATGCAATCTGCCCCAGCACCCAAACTTTTGACTCTCAGCCACTCACAGCGCTCTACTTTTCCCTCAAAATAAGTGTGTGCCAAAATTTTTCTTTTCCCTGCCTCACCCCATTCTCGTTTTAGTCTTAGCAGAACTATTTGGAGGACTGAAGTGAAGAACGGAAATCTTAGAATGGACGAGAAACTCAAAGGGCACACACAGAGGAGCAAAAGTTAGATTTTAGTGGAGACTGGGCTAATACCTACATAGCAAAGAACTGTTTTAACTGATGTTTGCATTATATTCCACAGGGGAAATAAAGTCTAAGTAGGGAGAGGCATCGCTATTTTTAAAAGTAGTTGAGAAACCATTTTTTGGTGAAACTCAAAGAGGATAACAGCTTTTCCTCAGATCAGCTAAGCATCCAAGAGATTGGGGTTTTTTTGTCTGAAATGTGTGCAGGCTTATCAGAAGGTATGTGAGCTGAAGATCTGTGAAACTCTCATGAGAAAGCTAATGGCTGTGATTGCTGATGTTTCCTGGTGTGAGCTGAGCTTTCGCTATTTCTGCTTTTAAAATCAGCTGAAGCACAAGAATGCAAAAATGTCATTAAACATTCCCCAAATATTTTCAATGTTCAGAATATGTCAGAGTTGATCTGATTCATGTTTTAGTGAAAGGTTGCATTGATTTTTATATGAACCGCGTCTCTTCACGCTCCTTGAGGTTGACTTTTTCACATAAAGGGCTTGATTATGAGAAAAATTATTTTTGCAATAAATAGCTCAGACAATTCAGTGCCTAATTAAAATAAGCAGTTAGTCAGAGCCTGT